GATATAGTAAATGAGGTTTATAACCCCTGCCAGTTTATTTTTGCCATTTGTGTCCAACTGGGGAAAGTTCCCTTCACTTCCTGTCCCATAGCCAAATCGGGATTTGAGGGAAGTGAGGGAATCCCTGGTTGTCACTAGAACAAGTGTCCCCATTGAACGATTTCCACACTATTCCTGTTTTGGGGACAACCTAAAAAATTGGCATTTTCTTTCACTTTCACTTTTGATAGCATTAAACATGGTAAATAAAGAGGGTGAATCTCCCTAAGGCCTGGTTCACACCTATGCGTGTTACAATCTGCTGCAGGAAAAAAAATCCCTGACCCTATCCAAAAATACAGTGGCTGAAAACGCATAGATGTGAATCTGTCCCATAGGAAACCATGGTAAATGGACTGCGGTGAGTTTCTGCAAAATGCAAAAACCCCTAAGAAATGCATAGGTGTGAACCAGGCTTAATGGTGGAGACAAACAGCAATTAGCAGGTGTTTTAATCCTCTCCAGTCTGTCCAAAAAAAAAATACGTTTTAAAAATTAAATAAAAAAAACTGAATTTGGACTGGAAGTAACATTTACAGATCTTGTCCCTCTACTAGCATGTATCTGGACAGAAAAGAGAGGCTGCAGACCATCACTCTGCTCTCTCCTCCTATCGGCATGCTCCTTGTTAGCACATGAGTGTCCATGTACTGCTTTTTCATCTTTCAGTCTGAGCTATGCTGCACAAGGGACTGATACTAAGTAAAACTCAGGGACTTACAGTAATTGCATTAAAAATATGTTTAATAATGTATTAGGTAAAGTGTTCCCACAAGGAAGAAAAATATATTTTCAATATATTCTTGCAAATATACTGACATATATTTGAAATACTACAATTTTGGCCGTATTCAATATATTTCATATATATATATATATATATATATACTGTATGTTGAAATGCATTTTTATTACAAAATATATTAAACATATTTTTAAAAATACATTTTCAAATATACTGTATGTCTTTAAAAATACATTTATTCTACATTTTTGGAATGCATTTACAAATATATGTAAAAATTTATGTTAAAATTACTTTTTTATATGTTAAAAAAAATCTGAAGGATATATTTATAAAAAAAATATTTTTAAAAACATTTTTAATATATTTTGTGATATATAAAAAATGCATTGCAACATATATATATATTTATTTATTTTTTAATATATTGAATATGGCCCAAATTGTAGTATTTCAAATATGTCAATATATTTGGGAAGAATATTTTTAAAATATATTTAAAATATATTTTTTCTTCTATGTGAGTTACTAAACCCAGGACCCTGCATTCACTGTATCTGGTTACCCACCAGAACACGGAAATGCACTTATTTTAGTAAATATAAACTTCTAAATACCTTTTTCTATTCAGCAGTATATAGCAGTCTTGTGACTTCTATTAGTGTCCAGCCAAGTTTGTAGGAGGAGTTTTCACTCTCCTCTGACTGTCCTGTGAGGCTGCATGATCCCTGACCCTCTGTCTGGACAGTGCTGATTGGCTCTGTGCTGATCACTTGCACCCTCCCAAAGAAAAAAAACCTCTCTAGCAATACACACTAACGTGCAGAGTGACTCCTAGGGCTCTGTACTATCAGCAGATGGATTGGGGACAGTAGGAGAAGGGGAGGATCAGAGAAGACAGGATCAATTAACCTTTTTACACAATGCAGAGGATTAACCCCTTAGGTTCCACAGCAGGTTTAACAAGCATGCTTTACTGCATATACAGACTGATTTTACTGTCCAGCGAAGCACTGGTAAAGCTTGTAGGAGGCATTTTCATTCTCCTCTGACTGTCCTATGAGGCTGCATGATCCCTGACTCTCTGTCTGGACAGTGCTGATTGGCTCTGTGCTGATCACTTGCACCCTCCCAAAGAAAAAAACCTCTCTAGCAATACACACTAATGTGCAGAGTGACTCCTAGAGCTCTGCACTAGCAGATGGATTGGGGACAGTAGGAGAAGGGGAGGATCAGAGAAGACAGAATCAATTAGCCTTTTTACACAATGCAGAGGAATAACCCCTTAGGTTCCACAGTGGGTATAACAAGCATGCTTTACTGCATATACAGACTGATTGTACTGTTGTGGGTTTAGTAACACTTTAATGCAGAACTTCAGTGATTTGTGTCTTTTATATCTGCTTGGAATTGAAGTTTAAATAAAAAGTGTTTAATATGCTCTCTTATCTCACATCTCATCACTATTCTTCCTCCTGTTGTCTGTCTTTTCTCGCCCCATTCTTTCACCCTTCTCCTGGTCCTTGTGGAAGGAGGAGGAGGAGGAGGAGGAGGCACCATCCAGGGGAGGATGAGAGAAGCACAAGAAGATAGCGTGCCTGCGATAGGGAGAGTGGAGCTCAGACAAGGGACATACAAGTACAGAGAATGGACTGAGTTGAGACACCAAGGGGATAGGAGAGAAGAAGAAGAGGGTGCTTGGTAAGAATCCACTGACAGGAAAAAAGGCACAAGATCATCTGAGAAGAACAGGACAGGACATTGCTGTAATAAGGAAAGTGAAATAGGACAAGCACATCATGGACTGTGGCTAAAGCAGACACACCCCAGGATTGTCACCCAACAAAGAACAAGACGGACCCACCAGAGATCCCTAGACGGCCCAAAAAGAGGTGAGTGTTACAGGCAGATTTAAAAACTGTAAACCCATGGTAAGTGACATACCCGTAAGAACAATCTAACAATATTGATAAATACAGAATTTCAGGATAATACACAAAGTTTGATGGGCTGCAGGAAAATCGCAAATGTCTATTAATTAACATGTTTAGGAGGTCTCCAACAGGTGCTCAATATTCCATGAAATAATGATATCCTTTATTAGGTAGCTTTACGATTGAAAGGCACGACAGGAAAATAATCAATGAGTATTTATAACTTGTTTCATAATGTCTTTTCAAGCTGTAGGAGGATCTATTGTTTTCCAAGGGATATATTCACATTTTCCTTGTTGTCATAGAGGAAATTTAAACATAACTATTGGCAGTTATTTACGTAATTGTCATCTTAAGCATAGCTTTTTTTTGTGTTTTTATGCAGGATCTTGGATGATTGTAAGTGCAGAATATTATTTAGGGAGTTACATGTTTTGGCGTCCAAAAAAAAGGTAAAAGTAACGTTTTGGATCTTTTTTTTTTATTCAGATTTTATTTTTGGAAAAAAAAAAAAAATCTAGAACTTTGAATCTCTGAATAGTGGGACTTGCATCTTTTGACATCCACTAAAAAAATTTAAAAGCAACACTTTGGATCTTTTTTTAAATCTGATTTTTTTTTTTTTGCAAAAAAGAATTCTAACACTTTGAATCTCTGAACAGTGGCCACAGTAAAACTTTGGTTCACATTTTACTTGTTGTCATAGCATAAATTTAAACACAACTATCAGCAGTTATCTATGGTCATCTAAACATAGCTTTTGATGTGTCTACATCTAAGGTGAGCATTGTCCTAGACGATCAAACATGCAAAATATTGTCTTGGGAATTATATCTTATGGGTTCCCATGAAAAAAGGTAAAAGTATCATGTAGAATTTTTTTTTTCAATTAGATTTTTGTTTTGCCAAAAAATAACCCCCCAAAAACTTACATTTTGAATCTTTGAACAGTGGCCATAATAAAACTTGGTTCATAACTTATCCCCTGAGATTTAAAGAGTTATATATAAAAATTCCATTAGACACTGAAAGAACCTGCATGACCATAAATATAATATAATATAATTTTATATATATATATATATATATATACATATATATATATATTTATTATTATTATTACTATTAATAACAATAATAATAAGTATATATACATTTTATTTTAACAAATAATTGTGAAAGACATAAGAATATAAGTACACATTGCTTTTTACAAAATGTGTTATTTTTCTGGCAGTATGTCAGGTTTGCGCAAAAAGAGGAGTTTAAAATAACAAAAAGTAATAAACTTGCATAAGTATCGGGATTGTTGTTTTATATAAATATTAGTGGTAATACCTGTATGTTGAAGAAAAATGCTGTTAATGATAAAAAAAAATAACTTTGTTTTCTTGTTTGTTTTTCCTCCATCCTCATCCTCATGTTCACAATATTGATGACATCTCTACACCTAACTTCTGAATTGGTCCACCATCCATCCCCCTGGGAAGTTTGCCTCTGCATGTATTGACAATTACTGCCACATCATTCATATTGCACAGCCCCATCACTGTTTCTTCTTAGCTTATCACCCTCTAATGTCCCCACCTCTACATTCCAACTCTTCTTTTTCCTCAATGTTCTCTCCTTGGCCTCCAACCTCTCCTTCCTATACCACTGCACCATCTCGTTCCACATCATCCACCCCACTCCTTCCATCCCTGTCCATGGCAATAGGGTCATTATCCAATGCTCTTGGTCTCTGGATCCTTGCTCGGGCATATTCCCACTCTCGGCGCCTCCGAAGATCCAGAGCGCAGTTCCTCCTCTTGGCCTCAGGTCTTTTAGTGACAGACTTGGCTGGACATGTCATCGCAGGATCCTTCGTTCTGTGGCTATACTCCCATGGAGGAATATCAATGGCTGGATGTCAGTTTCTCGGATGCTGTATGGTGTTCTTTGGCCTTTCTCCACTCTTTCTTGGTCTTCTCATGGCATGTGAACGTTGCCTTGGACTTACAAGACCTCTCTGGCATTCTATTATGGTGACTCACAACCGAGCACGAATAAGCTTGGCCTTGACCTGGGCAGTAGTTCTTCTAGTGTCCACCCTTCCATTTTTGGGTTATGGAACGTATGGGTTGCAACCTTCAGGAACCTGGTGCTTTTTGCAGGAGCCCCCCGGATTTTGCTTGCTGTTTTCGGGATTAGGTTTGGGGTCCCTGTCTGCTGCTCTGATATGCAACATGATAGTTGGAGTTACTTTACTGAGAGCTCGGATTCAGAGAACATCTGGAAGGGACCACAGGAGACACCGTCGGGGAGCTCGTTCCCATGATTTGGAGATGGTGGTACAGTTATTGGCAATCACACTGGTGTCATGCGTATGCTGGAGCCCTCTGCTGGTAGGTTCTTTTCCATTGTATTCTGTCTGCTTGCCCTCCTAATAGAGCTGTGATTTGATTGATTGTGATTCACGATTCCCAACCTGTAAGAGTGTTTATTTGTAACATTGGATATGGAACCCATGTAATTAGAATGTGGCACAAAGTAAAATTACAACACCCAAAAACAAACCTAACAAAACTTTTTTTGGTAAAGGTACATTTAAATTTAAAAAAGAATAAACTGCAAACGTAAATCCATAAGGCATCCAATGATTGAATAAATCCAACAAAGGTTCAAGCATCTTCTACACTCTACCAAGAAAAAGGAAAAGCACTTTTACTGAGTATAGGTTTTACTGAAATCAAAAAGGAAAATCTGTAATGCCTACTGGAGGGGATTAGAGATGATTTGAAGAACAGGCAATTAGCACATTCTGTGTGATTATTGATGAAATTTATGTCTGGAAGGAAACGCTGAAAGAGAAAAACAACCACTTCTGTGGCAACGAGAACAAACAAGCACTCACATTGACGACTTGTAGTAGTTGAGCAAATGCAGGACATTTTCAGGTGCATTCACTTTCTTTTTTTAGATCACCTCTGATTTTCTTCATAGGTGCATTTGACCTGCAATTGACTTTCTGCGTCAAGATGCTTCGGCGCTCCCATTGACTTTTCTAGAAAAAAAGGCAGTTCCGGTCTGAACAAAAGGTCCTTAAAACTTTCCCTATTCCCAAGCCAAGCTTTAGCAAGTTATTTAAAGTGTATCTAAACCCAAGATAAAAAGAAATGTATTGCTTTTACCAGTTCTTACACATGGTGGCCATGCTTGTTTTCTTTTTTCAGGATTTTTCCCCACCTGTTTGTTTGGGGTGATCCTGTCAGTAACACATCTCTTGTCTAAGGGTGAAAATGTTCCTTCACTGTTCTCTAAGGAGAAGGAGCAGTATTGTCTCCTTAGGGCAAGACTACAGAACACTTCCACCTCTCCTCTTCTCCATAACACAGAGGGGAGTGTTCTATAGTCCACAGAGAGAGATGGGAACAATGCTAACTGATAACAGTAGGAATTTCACAGAGAGAATGACACTGATGTACAGAGGAATACACAGAGGGACTGACGCTGATGTACAGAGAAATACACAGAGGGACTGGCACTGATGTACAGAAGAATGCACAGAGGGACTGACCCTGATGTACAGAGGAATACACAAAGGGGCTGACCCTGATGTACAGAGGAATACACAGAGGGACTGACCCTGATGTACAGAGGAATACACAGAGGGACTGACCCTGATGTACAGAGGAATACACAGAGGGACTGACCCTGATGTACAGAGGAATACACAGAGGGACTGACACTGATATATAGAGGAACACACAGAGACTGACACTGATATACAGAGGGATACACAGAGGGACAAACACTGATGTACAGAAGAATGCACAGAGGGACTGACACTGATGTACAGAGAAATACACAGAGGGACTGACACTGATGTACAGAAGAATGCACAGAGGGACTGACACTGATGTACAGAAGGATACACAGAGGGGCTGACACTGATGTACAGGTGTACACACAGAGACTGACACTGATGTACAGAAGAATACACAGAGGGTCTGACACTGATGTACAGAGGAATACACAGAGGGAATGACACTGATATATAGAGGAACACACAGAGACTGACACTGATGTACAGAGGAATACACAGAGGGACTGACACTGATGTACAGAAGGATACACAGAGGGACTGACACTGATGTACAGAGGAATACACAGAGGGACTGACACTGATATATAGAGGAACACACAGAGACTGACACTGATGTACAGAAGAATGCACAGAGAGACTAACACTGATGTACAGAGGAACACACAGAGGGACTGACACTGATGTACAGAAGGATACATAGAGGGACTGACACTGATGTACAGAAGGATACACAGAGGGACTGACACTGATGTACAGAAGGATACACAGAGGGACTGACACTGATGTACAGAAGGATACACAGAGGGACTGACACTTATATACAGAAGGATACACAGAGGGACTGACACTGATGTACAGAAGGATTCACAGAGGGACTGACACTGATGTACAGAAGGATTCACAGAGGGACTGACACTGATGTAGAGAGGAATACACAGAGGGGCTGACACTGATGTACAGAAGGATACACAGAGGGGCTGACACTGATGTACAGAGGAACACACAGAGGGACTGACACTGATGTACAGAAGGATACACAGAGGGACTGACACTGATGTACAGAGGAATACACAGAGGGACTGACACTGATGTACAGAAGGATACACAGAGGGACTGACACTGATGTACAGAAGGATACAGAGAGGGACTGACATTGACGTACAGAAGGATACACAGAGGGACTGACACTGATGTACAGAGGAACCTAGCTTTACTTTGTAATTTGTTTAGTAGGATTACTGCTAGAGCACACCGTAGAAAATAATATGACACCAAATCACTTCTATCCTCAGAGTCCAGGTACCTCGCTGTCTGGCCGCTCGGTATGTCTGTTTTTGCTCTGTCCTCTCTGATCTCCCTTCCCTCCTAGACTGGAAATTCTCTCCATTTCTATCCCCGAACTGTCTTTCTGCGTTTCTCATTCTTCGCATACTCAAAAGAAGCTCAGTGATTTATTCTGATAAAATGTGTTCTCTCTCCAGTGGAAGAAAAGAATACAAGCAATATCTGTATATGACAGAATAGGATGGGGAGAACAGAGGAACCCGAGCCTATGAAGCAGGCCACCACTAAACTCTGCTAAGCCCAGTGCTGTACAGCTACTTACCTATTCCATCAGCACTGCCAACTACAGTATATGGTATAATATAATGGGATTCAAGGGCAGAATATAGATAAGCTGCAGCTAATACCGCTTTTCTAGAATATAGCCCTGTTTCTGGCTGGATAGGGGAGGGGGTTATGGGAAATGGTCCTCTCCAAACCGGCTATAGCACTAAGCCAGTAGGACTGAAGGACCAGAACCATTACTAAGTAGAAGAGAAGGTTTGATAAAGTTTGCAGTGCCTCCACCCAGAACAGGGCCTCTGTGAGCAAGGGGGATTCCCTTCCTGGGAAATTGACGAATCAAAGTAATTGGGAGCAGAGGAACTACTGCCTATTACCTACAAGTATATAGATGCACACCAGTATGGAAATAATATAATAATATTTATATAAGAAAAGATTAATAATAGCATATACACTCAGGTCCATAAATATTGGGACATCGACACAATTCTAACATTTTTGGCTCTATACACCACCACAATGGATTTGAAATAAAACAAACAAGATGTGCATTAACTGCAGACTGTCAGCTTTAATTTGAGGGTATTTACATCCAAATCAGGTGAACGGTGTAGGAATTACAACAGTTTGCATATGTGCCTCCCACTTGTTAAGGGACCAAAAGTAATGGGACAATTGGCTTCTCAGCTGTTCCATGGCCAGGTGTGTGTTATTCCCTCATTATCCCAATTACAATGAGCAGATAAAAGGTCCAGAGTTCATTTCAAGTGTGCTATTTGCATTTGGAATCTGTTGCTGTCAACTCTCAAGATGAGATCCAAAGAGCTGTCACTATTAGTGAAGCAAGCCATCATTAGGCGGAAAAAAACAAAACAAACCCATCAGAGAGAGAGCAAAAACATTAGGCGTGGCCAAAACAACTGTTTGGAACATTCTTAAAAAGAAGGAACGCACCGGTGAGCTCAGCAACACCAAAAGACCCGGAGGACCACGGAAAACAACTGTGGTGGATGACCGAAGAATTCTTTCCCTGGTGAAGAAAACACCCTTCACAACAGTTGGCCAGATCAAGAACACTCTCCAGGAGGTAGGTGTATGTGTGTCAATGTCAACAATCAAGAGAAGACTTCACCAGAGTGAATACAGAGGGTTCACCACAAGATGTAAACCATTGGTGAGCCTCAAAAACAGATTAGAGTTTGCCAAACGACACCTAAAAAAGCCTTCACAGTTCTGGAACAACATCCTATGGACAGATGAGACCAAGATCAACTTGTACCAGAGTGATGGGAAGAGAAGAGTATGGAGAAGGAAAGGAACTGCTCATGATCCTAAGCATACCACCTCATCAGTGAACCATGGTGGTGGTAGTGTCATGGCGTGGGCATATATGGCTGCCAATGGAACTGGTTCTCTTGTATTTATTGATGATGTGACTGCTGACAAAAGTAGCAGGATGAATTCTGAAGTGTTTCGGGCAATATTATCTGCTCATATTCAGCCAAATGCTTCAGAACTCATTGGACGCTTCACAGTGCAGATGGACAATGACCCAAAGCATACTGCAAAAGCAACCAAAGAGTTTTTTAAGGGAAAGAAGTAGAATGTTATGCAATGGCCAAGTCAATCACCTGACCTGAATCCGATTGAGCATGCATTTCACTTGCTGAAGACAAAACTGAAGGGAAAATGCCCCAAGAACAAGCAGGAACTGAAAACAGTTGCAGTAGAGGCCTGGCAGAGCATCACCAGGGATGAAACACAACGTCTGGTGATGTCTATGCGTTCCAGACTTCAGGCTGTAATTGACTGCAAAGGATTTTCAACCAAGTATTAAAAAGTGAAAGTTTGATTTATGATTATTATTCTGTCCCATTACTTTTGGTCCCTTAAAAAGTGGGAGGCACATATGCAAACTGTTGTAATTCCTACACCGTTTCACCTGATTTGAATGTAAATATACTCAAATTAATGCTGACAGTCTGCAGTTAAAGCACATCTTGTTCGTTTCATTTCAAATCCATTGTGGTGGTGTATAGAGCCAAAAATGTTAGAATTGTGTAGATGTCACAATATTTATGGACCTGACTGTACATCCAATATACAAACATCAGTGGCGTCCCGAGGCAGGTGTGGGGGGTCCGGTCCGCACTGGGCGACACTGGACCCGCTCTACAAAATGGTAAGTTGTAAAACAAGCCGACTATCCCCGTAGGATGGATCGGATCC